GGGCAATCAAAGGAGTACTATTTTGCTTATTTCCGAAGGACTTCTTTGCATTTTTCGCCCGTTATCTGACATACTGTTGAGACCCTAACGTCCCCTCTAAACCACTTTGAGATTTATCGTAATCGCTGCCTTTAATTTTAGCGTTTCCGATGACTTCTCTGATTCTCCTTATCTCCTTCTGTTCATTCTGCAGCACAGTCATCTCTACGAAGCGTCCATATACACCAGTTTTACAGTCTTAGTATTAGGCTTGCCTTTAACAACTTCGGGGGGGGGGGGGCACGAAAGAACTAACAAGCCAAAAAGTACTAAGCTGAAGTTGCAAGAGGAAAGAAGTTGAAATACAGCCTTGAGGGCGTTCAGGTAACCTTTCAAGTCAAAATCAATTCCTCTCCGCATGCAATCTCGAGATAGTAGTTAGACTTGTTGTCTCATCGTCAGATCCATCAACTTGGTGTCTGACTCTTGATCGTCACAAAGAATTATAATTTACGGATTGCCACAAAGATTACATTTTACAAGTAAATATAGCGAAAGATTTTCAATTAAAGTGCTGTAGGCCGGAAGAGCAACTATGCTTGCTTAAAGGAGCCGTGTAGGAGCTTAAAGGAGCCGTGTAGGGAAACGTCCGATATTTTCCCCGGTTTTTTTTTGTAGCTCTCGGATAGCATCTGAATTTTAACCAAGCATGTTTAACAAAGTTCGAAATGGGTATACTGGAATTTGCCATAAGACTTCAAAAAGAATACCATCGATCGATTAATAAACAATTTCATAGAATCTCAACAATATTTTCCCAAATTTCTAAGTATTTTATTGTAAGCTGGCTCAAATTCTTTCCGAAAGTGTTGAAAACATGGCGATCGTACCTGTATTAGCCAGTTCAGGAGCTCCATGTTCAGACTAGGTATGCATCCAAATGAGCTCAAATTCTACATAGGTGATGCTCAAAGGTGTGGCATAAATGGGTTTGTCAGTGCTGATCACTGCATCTTTTGGCGAGCCAAGCACGGCTTCGTGTGGGTTTTCTCAACAAAGAATGGACCGATGATTATGATAATTACCAGTCCCGGCAAAATCAGTTTCCTCCCACTTTTACAGAACATTCTTCCGGGATATGGAAATCTCGAGTTTTGAAAGAATCACATGCAGTACGATACGTCGCTCGGGAAAGGGGCGGGGACGATTGAATGAGACTAGTTGCACCGTAACTCGTAAGATCCGCCGCCTACAATGACACACTCTTCACATACACCTACATTTAGGAAGGGAGGGCAAAAAGTGACCTTATTCCTCCACTTTCAGTGCTAAACGATTCGTTAATGTCGAACTGAACGTCACCCTCTGAAAACTCGGCGGTGCATAAGCGATGTAAAACTACATAATAATAGGATGGTAAGAAAGTCCTGAGCCGTTTGACTTTTTTTTGCTTTACTTTTTTATTCCGCGTACAATGGAATTTACTCAACAATATAATCACCATTGTTACTCACTACAGAGTCCCACCTAATGGGCAGGTCAGCGATCCTTCTCCCAGAACT